ATTCTTTCATTGTTATACAATCATGTTATACAATCCCTCCCCCCACTGCACTATGCAGCCTTCGTTCTGGACTCATGTCATGACAGTAATACCTAATCATATATCCCTTTTAAACAGCTCTCTCCTCCATCAGTTTCAATGCAGTCTACGTTATTTATCCCCTCTTTCTCAGTCTCCCCCCAACCCTGATGTCAGTCCCATTTTACAACAGTGGCACTATGCAGTATTTGTCCTTTTGTGACTGAGATATTTCACTCAGCATGCTATCCTCCAGGGTCACCCATTTGTATTATTTCATGAATTCCTTGTTTTTCAATGCAGCGTAGTATTCCATTGTGTGAAAATACCACAGATTCTCCATTCATTCGTTTGTTGATGGGCACTTAGGTTGTTTCCAACTCTTTGCTATTGTGAAGAAAGCAGCGAGAAGCATTGGTGTGAATAAAGATTTATTCTTTAGTGGCCCACAGTATAGTCAAAATTCTTCAACAACACAATTCAAAGACATTGATTCTTCCTCAGTCTTTTGCATTCTTTATTCAACCTTCAGATGGAAAGGTTGTTGTTGTTGTTATGTGCCATCGAGTCACTTATGACCCATACAACCCTATGTACAGCAGCTCTGAACCCTGCCCTGTCCTGAGCCAGTCTCACTAATTCTGACACACCAACCTCCACTGCCCCAGCTACTGTATCAATTTATCTCATCCAGGGTCTTCCTCTCCTGCACTGTCCCTCCACCCTTTTGAGCATGGTGTCCCTCTCCAAGGAGTAGTCCCTCCTGGCCACATGCCCAAAGTATATGAGATGGAGCTTCAAAATTCTAGTCTCCAAGGAGAAACCTGGTTTCACCCTCTCCAAGACAGACCTAGTGTTTTCCTGGAGGTCCATGGTATGTTCAATACTCTTCCAGCATCACAATTCTAATAGAGTAGAATAACAGACATGGCAACAGGCTAAGCCCATAAATTTGGAAACACAAATCAGGAGGAACAGTTGTAAGCAGAAACTAATGACTGGAATGTGGAATGTGAGAAGAATGAATGCAGGAAAACCTTGCATACAGAAAGTAAAGAAGTCTTCAAATATTACTAAAGAATATCAAAGACTATATAGCCTTCAATATGGGGAAAATTTTCCTTCAGATAATGGAATATTCTGAAATGTTGTTTTCCTGGAAATAACAGCAGTTCTTCTTTCATACCAGGAGTCCTAGGAGTAAGAGAAACTATTCTACAGAAACTAAGTCACTCATCATTTCTAGTTAGAGTAAGGACTTCCAAATCATGAGATTCTTTCTGAGAGAGAGGATTTAGACAAATGACTTAAAGGAAAAAGAGCATGTCAGTCAAACAGCATAAATAAATCCCAAATGCATTATGGTAAATGAAAGAAGTCAGACAAAATGGCTACATCCATGCTATACGATTTCACTTAAATGACACCTGAGACAAAAATATAAGGGCAGAAAAAAATATCTGTAAGGACGGGGTAGGAGGAGAGGGTTTGATCACAATGGGTCATGAAGGATTGTGGGGGAGTGATAATTTCATATATTGTGGCATTAGTTATACAATTGTATTTGTCAAAACTGGTAAAACTATATGAATTCATATGAATTTACTATATGTGAATTGTAACTCAATGAAATGGATTGCTTTTAAAATGTTAGAAATGCTACAATGAGGCTTTTTTTTTATTTTCAAAGAGGATGAATTAGATTACATTTCATTTGTTCCCCAACTCAAGTCTTATGATTTTATGGTATTCTACCTCTGGTGACTTCAGAGTCACAGAAATTAGAGTTAAGACTGAGCTCCAATTTCTGTGGTAAAGCACTTATATTCTCTGATCAGATCATATGGATCTGGGTCTTGCCACCAGTGGGGACCTAGGGCTCTCTCAGCCTGTAACAGAGGCTCACTTCCATTTCTCAATTGTCTCGACTTTCCTTCAGACCGATGAAAGCCACAGATAATTAATAAGCAAGACGGAATAAACTTCAGGAGACAGTGGCTTTTTCTTTGCACAGACTTCCTGTCTGGATCCGATCTGATCTTTCTACTGAATTTCAAATCAAACAACAAAATATTTATGAATTCTCCTATTCTATGACTTTCTAGGCTTCCATTAGATTACCTTTTATATATTTAAACTATGTCAATGTAAAATTTAAGCCTCATACCCAAACTTGCTATTTTTTAATACACACACCCCTCCTGGATTACTGATCCATCATATAGTATAGAAGATATGTCATTCTTCTTATGTAAAGAAAACATCTGGTTATACTATGACCACTGAGACTGAAACAACCACTGAGAATGTTCACACTTTCTGCTAATAGAAATAAAACCATCTTCTATGATCAAATGTGTTAACAGTAGTAGACTGTTGGAGGAGTCCCATCCTCTTTGCATCAATTCCTTTTTTGAAGGATATCAGAGGATCAGTCACAAATACCAGTAATTAGATAACTCACACTTGAAGACTAAGATAAACTCTAGAGTCACACACTGTAGTACAATTTACAGCCAAACAACAGACCCAACTATAAAATGAACAATAACATCCGTTAGGTACTCAGCCCTTCTCAGAACACTCAAACACAGGATAACAAAAGTAGCAGGTAGGAAGAAAAAGGATGGAAGGATGGAAACAAGAACTATAGAAAGATAAGAAAAAGAGTGATGATATAAAGTAGGGACTGCAATCAGTGTCATAAAACAAAGTATTGATAGGTGAATGGAACACCAATTGGTTTTGTAAATTTTCATTCAAATCACAATAAAAAGTTTAAACAAAAATTAAAGGCCACAATACAAGTCTGAATTTGTCAGTACCTCATATTCAAAGGACAGAGAGGACTTTGTAGAAGCCAGGAAATGTCCATACTGCCTTTTTATGCTGCATTCACAGTAAGTACATTGTGACTATGAAAGTTATATGCTCATATCAAGGGGGAAGAGGCCCAGAGTGGGGGTATTATTTTGATGATTTCCTCTCAGAAATAAAGAATGACATTTCAATGACATGAAACTAATCAACTTCAGAAATCCCTATCAACAGAAAATCAGTATTGCCTCTTCTATGTCACTTAGTGTTAAGGAGTTATGCTCTCAACCTAAAGGAACATGGTTCAAATCCACCAGCTGCTCTGAGAAAGATGAACAATCTCTCATGGGATTTACAGCCTCTGAAAATCCACTGGAGGTACAGCTATGAGTCAGTTCCAAGTAGACATCACATAACTCATACTTGGTAACATTAATTATTCCTTTGGCAAAATTAGAAAGTTTCACAAACAACTTAAGAGAAGAACATTTTTACCTTTTATTTAAAAGTATATATATATATATATATATATATATGGTAATGAGTAATAATTGCTCAGAGTTATCCCAAAAATATTTCTATTTTCAATGGTATTGACTAAAAGCACATTCCTACAGTATTCTTTTATAAATATGAAGCTATTCACTCTTCAGTGGCCAAGCAAATGACTTTTAAAATTTTAGGAATAGATTATTCACAGATACTACCCCTGTGGATGGTAGGGTTAAGGCCACTGTCTATAAGTACAAAACTAAAGAGGTAAGGCTTTCTGGCCATCATAAGAATGAACACATGATTTTCTAGTGTTAAAACCAGAACATCTTACCCAGTAAACAATGCTTCTGCTTCACGGAAACAAAGAGAAAAATCCCAGAGATTCATCTGGCCAGACATACTGCTTCAGAAACCTGTGAGAGAGCTAAGGCAGGACTATTACAGCAAAGAATGCCTACATTTCGCATAAAGACCCTACAGGGATAACCAAGAATTTCAGCAAAGCATTGATTGGTTCTCTCAATCCTCAGACCTCTGATAAATGGATCTCACCACCTACATACCTTTAAGGCTGGTAGGCTAATTGTGTGAGCCTTTCAGTTGGCACAGAAGCATAAGCATACCCTAAAGATGAAAGAGAATACTAGCCTCTAGGATTCCTGGGCCCTTCTCCTGGATATGGTACAAAGCCAAGTGTATGTTGACTTAGGTGAGCCCATTCATCCACCACAGGAGCAAATGCTACTTGAAATAAACTGTGTACCATGAACTCATGTTGAGGCCTATACCTAAATGGACACTAGTCACTCCTATACTCTGAGCAAAAAGTATTCCCTATCCCCTTTGCTCTTTCTGATCTTACTACTATTTCTAAGATCAAAACATTACTCGCAGATATGAAGAAATTGGAACTCTTATACACCACTGGTGAGATTATAAAATGGTACAACCACTCTAAAAGGCAGTTTGGCATTTCCTCAAAAAACTCCACATGGAATATATCCTAAGAAAAACAGAACTGAGACACAAACAAGGATTTGTACACCAGTATTCACAGCAGCATTATTCACAATCACAAGAACATGGAGACAGCACAACTGTCCAACCACAATCAAATGGATTGAGAAACTGTGGTATATTCATATGATGGACTACGACCCAACACTCAGGTGCAGTTATTTAAAAAAAATACTACATAACTTGGGAGAGACTGGAGAGCATTATGCTGAATTAATTCAGTCTCATAAGGATAAACACTGCCTAAGTTCATTATTATAAGAATAGAAGGATAATTAGTAAAATGTGTATGGGGGGGGTCCATGAGAAGAAGGGGTAGGAGCAGAGGAGGGTAGACATGGGGGAAATCACAAGGTCACACAATTTGGTGGGTGGAGGGAGGGGTAAAGGAAAAGGGAAAGATATGGCAGGGACCTGAAAAGATGGGGTAACAGTGGGATTAGTCCAATGGTGATTAATTTTCTAAAACACAATGTATGGGAATGAGTGCATGAAACACAATGTGAATGGAGGAAAGTGTGAAATACAATACATACAAATTTTGTACACAAACCAATATAAAATAAAAACATTACTAGCTTCTGACTGAAATACCATAAGTATTTATTCTGAAGAAATGAAAAAAACAAAATTAAAGTGACAAATGCTATTACCACATCTTGAGATGCATACTGGGGGTCTTCTGGGTTGACTGACCAGTAGCAGTAATCAAAGTCGAATGTTACAACCTTCTCCCGGGAGTTCCCAAGGCCATCTGGTCGACTGTCTACCTAAAATCAAACAAAGGATCCAGCATCATCTGTACTGTAATCATACAATCTGCTAAGAAGTACTTAATTCCTCTCTGCTGTAACTAAAGAACTCTGGATTGTTCATGTCCATGCTTACGGTATCTACATGACATAGAGAAAAGATAACCTTTCCCCATCTTATAAGGTACAAATATAATTCCAGAAAACTAGTTTTGTCTGTCTACCTGTAGTCTGCCTATGTATGAACCAGCCATAGAGTGGCTTGAGAAAGCAAGCCTTTCTCTGGGCATTTTTCTATCACTATCATTTCTCATCTAAGTACCTCTGCAGAGGCTACTGGGGGTGCATGAGTAGTTAAGCTCCTAGGCCTGACAGGCTCCATAATCCTATGGCTTGCACAGAGATTTCTATCCCAAATGAGAGAGAAAATGAATTAAAATAGAAGAACAGGAGCCAATCTAATTGCCACAGATAGATGAAAACAGACTAGATTTTAGAACTGTACTGATTTCCAAATATTGGATATAATGGGATCAATCACAGAAACATCACCAAACCAATGGACTGGAAAATTGTGGTGCGTTCATACAATGGAATATATGTGGCATTCTGGAGCAATGATTTTGAAAAATACTATATAACTGGTGAAAGGCTAGAGAGCATTATGTTCAGTGAACTAAGTCTCAAAAGGACAAATACTGGTAAGATTACAAATACTGCAATATTCTTCTATTGTAAAAATAGAAGGATTACTAATAAAATGTGTATAAATGCCCAAAAAAGAGAAGGAAGGGGCTGAAGACGCAAAGGGGAAATCACAGGGTGACAGAGTTTTGTGGGTGGAGGGAGGGAATTAAAGAATTAAGAAAGATCCAGTCGGGATCTGAAAAGACAGCATAATAGAGGCCATAGATCAACAGTGACTAATTTTATAAGGCACAATAAAATACAATGTGAATGAAGGACTGTGTGATATACAATGTATATGAATAGAAAAAAATATGCTTTAATTATAAAAAATAAAAGACAAGTAATAGTAAGAAACAAAAAATTCAACCCTAGATATAAAGAGATCATCCTGGTATGAGCTATCTTCAACTAATAGAAGAATGAGGCTACTAGAATGACTAAGAGATTATTAGTAGTTGACTGACCTCTGAGAAATAAGGAGTCAAAGAGGTGTGTAGAAGGTAGATTAGAGATTGAGTTTGACCAGGATTTATTCATAAGAACCAAAAATATGAGTTCCCAGAAGAAAGAAATGGAGTGATTAGGCAACAGAGCTAAAAACAAGACACAAAGAATAAAAGGCTCTTTGTCCCTGGGGAGCTTCTGCTGAAAGTCTGACAGGTCTCATTCTCTTTTTAGCAGAGAATTACTGAGAAAATGATCACATCAGAAGTAACACAGGTACCCTCACTCTTGTCAGTCAGCTTCCTCAGCCCTCAGGAATGCTAAGTACCACCTGCAAGTTGACTACAGCAGTAGTCATGTAGTCAATTTCTGTCTCTTTCTACTTTTTAAGGCCTACACAGTGTTCTACCAGAATCCCTAATATCTTCTGTGTTCCAGTGACCGGAAAAATGGGAGTGAGGAAATGAGTCTTAGTAGGGGTGGGGAAAGGAAGTTCCTTTTGTCTAATTAAGAAGCAAAATTCAGGCATATAAGTGAAAAAATATGTAACAAGAGTTAAGCTAGAGACTATCTTCTGGAATCCTGTATCTCATATGGTAAAAATGAATCTTACATTAGTCAGATGCCTACTGAAATCCTTAATAATATCTCTAGATTAACTGCTATCAACTGAAAGGTTTGGACAAAGTCTAATTGGTGGTCTCATAAAACACAAAAACAAAACCAAAACAGACAATGCCTTTAAGTTCTGGTTGACCCTCTAGCCTTCTTAGGCGGTAAATGTCTAAGAGAATACTCATCTTCCTCTCACAGAGCTGCTGGTGGATGTAAGTTTGGGAGGTGAACCTTCAGGTTAGCAATATAATTCTCTATGGGATGGACCACTAGAGTTTGGTAACGAGTGGTCAGTTAAATATACTCATGGAATGCCCTCAGTACACAATAATTAGCCATATTTCCCACATGTTTATTTTCAAAGCAGCTGCAGACCACATTCCCAAATGACTGCACTCTGCTTGACAGAATTTATGCTGTAGCAGCGTCATCCTTTACACTTCCTGTTTTATTTTTCTTTTTGCTTTATGGTTAGTCCAAGCTATTCTCACAATTCCTCTTATTTCCACTTTCCTTCTCCCCACTTCTGCTCTAGACACATTAATTTATATACCTTCATTCCAGAAGCCCTCAGTGGAAATAAAAACAATTTTAGGCTTACCTTTAAATTCCTAATTTTTGCCACTTTGCCGTCAACTTCCATAATAAGTCTTTCTCCATTTTTGGTCTCCCTAGAAACAAGATCCAACCTCATATGAGAAGAAATATTTTTCTTTTTTAATCAATAAAAGAGAAAGTGAAAGTAACCAGTCCTAGTAAGACAAAAATGTCTACCACCACTGTTCCATAAGAAGAACATCTCCAAAACTACCTAGAAACAGACTCATAGATGGGATGCTCCCCTATATCACTACAACTTGGTGTTAGAACAGTTAACAAATTCAAACTCATTGAACTGGCACCAACACATATCCAATCCCACAGTGGGTTTTGAGGTTGTAAATCACAGAAGAAGACTGCTTATCTTTCTCCTGTAGTTGCTGGTAGTTTTACTCTGTCTTATAGGGTCACTGTGAATTGGACTCAACATGATGTCAGTGAGTAAATGAGTGTTCGTAAGGCAATAATCTTTATGGAAACAGACTTTCATGTCTTTATCCCTTGGAACTAATTTGTTAGTAGCTGAGTGCTTAATTACTGTGCCACCAGGGCACCTCATAGTGAATTTGGTAAGAACCTGATACCCAGAACATGAGTTGGAGTTGATCTGATGACAACAAAAATAATACACAGAATGTTTAAGTGAATCTTTTTTTTTTTAAGTGAATCTTAAAGCTCAACAACAAAATACAGGTGACCAAACTGAAATGCAGTCAGAGGACTTTAATAGATATATATTCCTCCAAAGAAGATATAAAGATTGGCCATTAAGCACATGCATAATGCTCAACATCATTATTTTCTAAGGAGAAGCAGAAAACAGGACTTGGTAGCACACGGCCATGACTGTCTCTCTATAAGGACATGAGGGAGTAAGAATAACACAGCTGCTCACTGCCCCAGAGCAGAAAGCAGATAAAGAGCCAGTAACCCAGCCTGATGGTGTCTGTAGAGCCCCACCAGTAGCAAGAGGTTCATTTGTTCATTGCTGACTCACAGACTCACAAGGTACCAACAATGAGGTTTATTAAAGAAGGAATCTGGAGAGTGGGGGAGGCAGAGAATACTAATGCAAATCCAAGCTCAGTCTTTAGCCCAACTAAGGCACAACTAACTACTCAATAAATCCAGGTTCCGATTTCAGTTCAGGAGTCAAATCCAAATCATTCATCAAGGTTTTCCTCAGAGTAGTTATAAGTCAACTTCTCCTTCAAACATCCAGAGAACAGCCAAACCTTTAACTGTGGCCAGCACAAATGCAAGATGCCTCAGGTCACAGTTTCTCCACAGCAATGCCACAGTCCCTCCATAACCAGGGTCTTGCCGCAACAAACCTTGCTCTCCTCAAGTCTTGCCGCTCTGGTGGGAAGCACTCTTTCTCTTATCCTAGCCCCACACCTGTTGATGATATGCAAGACCATGCTGATTTGCAAGGCCATGTGTCTGCAGTTAAGGTAGCTGGAGACCGGAGGCAAAATGGCTAAAAAAAAAGGCCAACTTTTAGGGTAACACCACAGATCCACACAGTCAAAAATGCCTTTGCATAGTCAGTAAAGCATAGACATTCTTCTGGTATTCTTTACTTTCAACCAGGATCCATCTGATAACATCAATGGTATCTCTGGTGACACAGTCTCTTCTAAATCCTGCTTGAAATTCTGCCAGTTTCCTATATACGTACTGTTCTAGTAAATTTTTAATAATCTTCAGTAGTATTTTGCTTGTGTGTGATATTACTGATATTGTTTGATAGTTTCCACATGCTGTTGGGTTAGCTTTCTTGGGAATAGGGACAAATATGGACCTGGACAAATATGAACAAATCAGCTAGCCAGACAGCTGTTTGCCAAATTCCCTGGCAAAGACTGGTAAGTACATCCAAGGCTACATCTGCTAATCTAAACTCATCAAGTTTAAAAGGCTATAAATCTGAAAAGAAGCAGACTACCTATTTTTCTCCTGTAGAGTGGTAAATAAGTTTGAACCATGGACCTTTCAGTTATCAGCCTGACACTTAACCCCCTATGCTACCAGGGTTCCTATTGAAGCTCAACTGGCAATTATATGGTTGTTATGAATCAGATTCATCTTGACAGCACTGAGTTTATGGGAAATTCATCTTTAAGGAGGTAGGTAAGTATTCAGCTGCTAACCTAAAGGCTGGAAATTCAAGCTCACCAATAGATGGACAAGAGAAAGAACTGGTGATCTTCCCCCTACAGAGTACAGCAAATAAATCCTATAAGGCAGTGCTATTCCATCACCTGGAGTTGCTCTAAATCAGAACCAACTCTATGGCACTCAACAAAAACAAAAAAGCAAACAAATTCACCATAAGAGGCCTAACCCAGGTGACTTAGGTATCTAAAGCCTAAGTTTAATGGTATACACTCCACTGTAGATACAAACTTTTTCATAATGTAGTTTCAACCACAATGTGGTCAAGGTCAAAATGTTAACAAATACAAATGAAATTCATTAACACTTCCTTTATTCCATAAAATTTATCTGTTAAATGACTTCTAGCCAGGAAGTTGATGTCCTTGGTACAAGCAGTCAAGAAATCTAAAGATTGGACTGGAAAAATCTACTGTCATGGGTTTCTTCAAAGTGCTAAAGAGTAAAAATGTCAATTTAAAGCCACAGTGCATCTGATCCAAACCATGATCTTTAAAATGACTTCTTATGGATTTGAAATTGGAAAATGAATTAAGGATGATAGAACAAGAATCAATGACTTTGAGTTGTGGTGCTGGAGAAGAGTACTGAATATCCCATGGACTACCAAAAGAACAAACAGGTCTCGGAAAAAGTACAACCAGAGTGCTCCTTGGGAGGCAAGGATGGTGAACCTTCATCTCATACTTTGGGAATGTGTCAGGAAGTTTCTCTACTTAGAAAAAGATGTCTTGCTTGGAAAGGTCCGTGTAAGAAAGAAGACCCTGAACTAGATGGATTGACACAGTGACTGTAACAACGGTTTCAAGTGTACAGAGATGATGAGGAAGGCATAAGGCAAGGCGGGGTTTTTAGAATTGTTGTTTGTTGAGTTGCTATGAATCGTAGCGAACTTGAAGCCACATAACATACAACAACGAAGCTGAGAAAATATTTACTTCCTTTGGTTTCCCAAGATGTCATTTTAAGGATTCTAGGGAGAGTGAGACAAGGAAAGACTTACTGATTTTTTTCAACCTTTTTAAAAAAATTTGCATACAAAAATCTATATATGTTTCCTTCATGTATACGGTTTCATTCATATATTTTTTATATATAATTTACATACATTGTTGTTGCTGTTTTAGCAAAACATACCCAAAAAAGATTTATTAACACGTTGCCGCAAATGACGGTAAGACATAAAAAAAATTTAAAAAATGTGTTTCCAAGCACGGTTGTCAATTAAAAGTGTGTGGCAACATGTTAAGGTAATAAGACAGAGGCACAGCTTGTGAAAGGTAGGCCACACTAAGAGTTAAATGAAAAAAGGAAGAGGGGGGAAAGGGCAAAAGGACCCCAAGAAAAAGAGGTGAACTCAATCCTTACAGCATGCTGTCAGCAGAAAATGAAGGTAAAAGAGCTGTACATTGTGAGAGGTTTTCTGTGTTGTTGTTGTTGTTGTTATGTGCCGTCGATTCGCCTGCGACTCAGAGCGACCCTATGTACAACAGCCCTAAACTCCGCTCTGTCCTGTGCCAATCGCACTGTCTCTGACACTCCCATCCCAATTATCCCAGTCACTGAATCA